TCCCAAAGAAAAAAAAAGACAAAGAAAAGGCTTAATTGTTGCTATATTATGATGTTCATGTTTCCTTGTTACCAGTCGAGGGATCCAGCTGACCAAGGTGCTTGGAAATATAAAGGCACGGGCCAACTTCGTATCCAGTGCAAGAAAGGCATCAGTAAGGGCACAAAGGAATCTAAACCAACAATAGTTATACTCAATGATGTAGGTTCCATTCTCATTTTGTAACTTTTTTGTTCAATTACTTACCTATTTACCTCCCTTATTTATTTAATTATCAATTTTGTCATTTTTCATGGAGTTAATAGATTACGACTCCGAAATTTGTATACTATTTTTTTCTGGAGGGGTTTCACATATATTTGCTATTGAATGAGGTGGCATGCAGATTTGAGAATATGGCCTTAATAGGAATTTTAAATTTTAGTGCAGTTAATACAATGTAGCTTGATGCTGTTTCTTGTATTTCCGTCCAACAAAACGACAAGCTACCATTCTTATGATCACACTCCATGTAAATATGCGTCTTTGCATATCCTATAACTGTTGCAGGTGGGAAAGCTGCTGCTCGATGCATTGATATACCGAGGCATCAGGACAATTGTGCTAAAGAATTCAGTTGTAACAGTATTTCATACTTCGGTAATTCATTGCTGTTATGTTGTTACTTCACATTTGTTTCCCATGTTTTCATTTACTTGGCAATTTTTTTTCACTGTGTATTACTGTTATATAGGTTGCATTATCGTTAACTTGATCGCACTTGCTCCTTATAACAAAACTGAAGAGGAAAGCATGCATTTTTAGTTCAGCTTAGTATTGTTCTAACAGTTTGATATTGAGGGGTCATTTGAACGACCAATTTGGTCCAACTATTAAGTAGTCAGCAACACAGTTAATCCTTTTTGTTGAAAATTCAATTTTACCCGTGAGACATCTTATTTCCTGTATAGATTTGTGGTTTACGATAAGGTTTGTTCAAGGAGGCATAATTTTATCCTACTGCCCCTAAAAATAGAGAAAATGTAGCCTACTCTTTTTACAGAATAAGCCAATCTTTTGCAATGTGAAATCCCCAGATATGTTAATATTTACGTAGTTGCCCATTTAAATCAAATGTATCTGATGTTTAATTTCATGTTATCTTTAAAGGATGATGGTGATAGCAATGAAAAAGTTGTTGCTCGGCCCTTTTTAATGAGAACAAAGACTGAGGAGGACAGAGATAAACTTGTTGCTGCCATTCAGGAATACGCTCCTACAAGCTGAGACTCAAAGAGTATATGCTTTATTTTACATAACATTTTGTTCTACGTCTAGCTCAAGGGCCCTGCATTATCGGGATTTTTTCAATGGTTAACACTGTCCGTAATGTAAGGATTTTAGGACTTGTGTATTTCACATGCCTGAGGAAATTCGAGATGTGTAACACGATCCGTACGCCTGTGTATTTCACGGATAGATGTGCAACATAAATACCTTTCTATTTTTTTCTTGCTTCTTTGATACTACCAATTTCCAAGTTTGATGTGTGATTTCTGAGTATTTCATTTTCTACTCTTGATATTTGTAGTTGGTAATAATTTTGTTTGTGTTATAAATACTAGAAAAATAAAGAACACGAATATAGAAACCGGAGATAAATTTGCCGACACGAATATAGAAATCGGAGATAAATTTGCCGAGTTTTCTTTTCTTCTCTATTTCTTTCTCTTTCTCTTTCAATGTATTTTTTGTGTACATGCTTAATGAATTGAGCAAGTATTTATAGGCAAAATTTGCCCATCTCTATTGACAATTTTTACATAATTACTATTTATAGTCTAATTTGTACAAAATTCTAATTTGTACAAATGACAATTGTTAGTTCATTATTTAGAACACTTCCTCTTGGACTAACAATTATAAAATGTACATTATCCCCATTTGACTTTCAATTACAAAATGTGAGTTTTATGCTGTCTCATTAAAAAACCTTATTCGGAAAAACTTAGTGGGAAAAAACCAATATAAGGGAAAAAGAGTACAACCTCACATGCTCCCCCTCGAGTTATCAACTTTGCAAATCTCGAAGATGTCTCATTCCAATGTTATAGACATGTTTTCGAAACATTGTAGTTGGAAGCGCCTTTGTGAATAAATCTGTTGTATTATCACTTGATCGGATGTATTGAACTTTGATTTGTTTGTTCCTTTCAAGCTCTTGAATGTATGAGAAGAACTTTGGCGGGATATGTTTGGTTCTGTCACTCTTAATGTATCCTTCTTTGGTTTGAGCGACACATGCTGCATCGGATCTTTATTATTCGATAATCCACTAGCTTGTTGAACGTGTTGAGTTATGTTTATGAGCCAGATACTTTCCCTAGTTGCTTTATGCAATGCAATGATCTCAGCATAATTTGAAGATGTAGCAACCAGTATTTGTTCTGAGAACGCCAAGAAAATGCAGTTCCACCAATCTTGAGTACGTAGCCAGTTTGAGATCTTGCCTTATGTGGGTCTGATAAATATCCTGCATCTGCAAAACCAATCATTTCATGTTTTTTATCATTTGAGTAAAATAATCTCAGACCGGTTGTTCCTTGGAGATAACAGAATATATGCTTGATTCCATTCCAGTGTCTCCTCGTAGGTGATGAGTTTTATCTTGCTAACAAGTTGGTAGCAAAAGATATATCTGGTCTAGTGCAATTAGCAAGATACATAAGAGCACCTATTGCACTCATATATGGTACCTCAGGACCAAGTATTTCTTCATTTCCTTCACAAGGTCGAAGTGGATCCTTCTCAACATCTAATGGTCGATTAACCATTGGAGCACTAAGAGGGTTAGCTTTATCCATATTGAACCGTTTTAGAATTCTCTTAGTATAGTTAGATTGATGGACAAATATCCCATTATGTACTCTCTCTAGTTGTAAACCGAGACAATATTTAGTTTTTCCGAGATCTTTTCAAATTCACCTTTCAAAAAGGTAACTGCTTCTTGTATTTCATTTGTTGTCTCAAAAATATTAAGGTCATCAACATAGACAGCTATTATCACAACTCCATTATGTGATTTATTTATAAAGACACACGGATATATTTTATCATTTAAGTATCCCTTTTTTAATAATTATTCACTTAAACAATTATACCACATACGCCTGGATTTTTTCAAGCCATATAATGACCTTTGCAAGATAGCACATAACTCTCTAGGTTTTGATTTTAGTGCTTCAGGCATTCTGATTCCATCTGGAATTCTCATGTATATATCGGTGTCCAATGATCCATACAAGTAAGCAGTTACAACATCCATGAGACGCATTTCAAGATTTTCATGGATAGCTAAACTTATCAAATATCTGAAAGTAATTGCATTCATGACAGGGGAATATGTCTCATCATAATCAATCCCAGATCTTTGGGAGAATCTCTGTGCTACAAGGCGAGCTTTATATCTCGTGATCTCATTTTTCTCATTTCTTTTTCTTATGAAAACTCATCTGTATCCAATAGGTTTTATCCCTTTTGGTGTAATGGAAATAGGCCCAAAAACTTTTCGTATATTGAGTGAATCTAACTCGGCTTGGATGGCGCCTTTCCACTTATCCCAATCATGTCTTTTCTGACATTCAGTTACAGATTTTGGTTCAGGATCCTCAACTTCATTATCAATTTCTTTCGATACCATATATACAAATGCATCATCAATATTTGTGATCTCATCACGGTTCCAAAGATTTTCATTATTTACGTAATTGATGAAAATTTTAATATTTTCATTATGTCCCGAAATTTTTTCATCATCTTGATCTTTTCCAAATTCGGGTCACGGATTTATCTTTTCTTTCGAGGATTCTTATCTTTAGACCCAATTAGTCTTCCTCGTTTCAAGCGTATCTTTGATTCATTTGGCACATAATCATTTGCCATTTCTTTTGGAATCTCAATTCGTGCAGGGGCATTTACAACTGCCACATGTGATTTGGTCACCCTTTTTAAATCAGTAAATGCATCTGGCAATTGATTTACAATATTCTGCAAATGTATAATCTTTTGAACTTCTTGCTCTCTTTGTTTGGTTGGAGGATCAAGATATGATATCGATGATGTTTTCCATTCAATATTTCTATCAATTGGTTTTTCATTCCCACCTAATGGGGGAAATAATTCTTCATTAAAATTACAATCATCAAATCGAGCTGTAAAAACATCCCTGTTTTTGGCTCAAGATATTTGATTATTGATGGAGACTCATATCCAACATATATTCACAACCTTCTTTGAGGGCCCATTTTGGTACGTTGGGGTGGAGCAATTGGTACATACACCGCACAACCAAATACTCTTATATGTGCAATATTTGGTTCTCGACCAAATGCCAACCGTAATGGAGAGTATTTATGATATGCACTTGGTCTTATTCGAATTAGATCATCTGCATGCAGAATAGCATGTCCCCATACTGAAGTAGGAAGTTTTGTCCTCATTATCAATGGTCTAGCTATGAGCTGCAGTCGTTTAATCAATGATTTTGCTAGACCATTTTAAGTATGAACATGTGCCACATGATGTTCAACATCAATTCCCACTGCCATACAATAATCATTAAATGCTTGAGATGTAAACTCACCAGCATTGTCAAGTCTGACCTTTTCGATAATATAATATGGGAATTGAGCCCTTAACTTAATAAGTTGGGCGAGTAATTTAGCAAATGCCACATTTTGAGTTTATAACAAATCACATGAGACCATCTACTAGAGGCATCAATCAACACCATAAAATATCTGAATGGACCGCAAGGTGGATGAATAGGTCCACATATACCACCATGAATCTTTTCTAAAAATAATGGTGATTCATGTCCGATTTTAGTGTGTGATGGTCTCGCTATCAATTTTCCTTGAGAACGTGAGTCACATGTCAATTCATGCGTTTGCAATATCCTCTGATTTTTTAATGGATGGCCATTAGAATTTTCAATAATTCTTCTCATCATTATCGAGCCAGGGTGGCCAAGTCGATCATGCCAAATTTTAAACATTCCTTTTGACTTTGAATTGGCTGCAACATAAACCTCGTTTATATTGATGCGGGTATAATATAAATCCGAGGATAAAGCGGGTATCTTCTCCAAAACACATTTGTTTCCCGCAATTTTTGAGGTAATGCAAAGATATTCATCTCCCCCTTTATTCATTGTTTCAATGTGATATCCATTCATTCTGATATCTTTAAAACTCAACAAGCTTCTTGTTGATTTTGGGGAGAATAATACATCATTCACTATAAATTTTGTACCACCCATCATAAAAAATATGGCCTTTCCAGACCCCTCAATTATTTTTGCACTTCCTGATATTGTGTGCACTTTCGTTTTATTTACTTCTAATTGAACAAAATATTTTCTGTCTTTAAGTATAGTGTGGGTAGTGGCAAAATCTGCAAGAAATATATCTCCATTTTGGATTCATGATTGTTCCATGATCTAAAACAAAAAAATAAAAAATATTATTGATCAATGTCTAAATACATATAACAATGTTCCAAACAGTATTATAAACACACTCAATACATAAAACAAACACGACCATCATTTATTCTTCATTATTTGCAGTTGCTTCCCCAAACACTGCATCATCAAAATCCATCCTTAGCATGTCATCAAAATTATAATTATCATCTGCACGTATTTGTTGGAACCCACGAGGATCTCGATATGCACAAATCACAGACAAACATTCAA